AGCACCAGCAATTAGGGCCGCCTAATGCAGAGCGCTTCAGGGCAAAATGGGGGGAAGCAGGTCCCCAGCTCTGCCTTAATGAATCAGCAGCAAGTCTGTGTAAACAAACACACATCCGCCTAGCTCATGCTTAATTCATGAAGGACGCACCATGTGCAGTACACATGTTAAGTAGGTAGCTATTGCCCTTAAAAACCATGTCATTTTGATTTCTTGGGTGGTTTGTTGTTGTTTTTAAGCAAGGAAAATGGAGGAGCTATCTGTAAACAAAAGTGCAGGATTAACAATGGGAAACAGCCTGGAACAAGGAGAGAGCTTTTCCCACGAGGGAATATGATCTCTTGTCAAAACCCCAAAATCACGCCAGACATTTCAAGGACAGGCCATAATTTCATTACTAACTGATGTCAGGCCCATCCAAGGGGCTGATGGCAACGAGGTGAAGCCTCTTCAGAGCCTACCCATGTCCCCACAAACCTGCTAAGGATTTGAAAGGATTTCTTTTTTTAATAAGCTTACCAGACCTAAAATGGTTGAGTTACTTTAAATCTACAGACAGATTTATGGGTAAACCAGAAACCTAGTTACCACCACCACCTTTGGCCACACCTTGTTGGAAACAAAATTTCCATGGTTATTTGTCAGAAGGAATAGTTGCAGTCATAAAAATCAACAGTGACTACCCTCAACTTGACGGGTCCAAGTGCCTGATCGAAGGAACAGCAGCCACCACGGCATGGCATTTTTATTCCTTTTCTAAACCCAGGTTGCTCTGAATGAAACCTGCAAAACGTGCCACGTCGCAGACACAGTGGGCTTTGGTGTGTTATTATTACTTTTTGCTGTAGTAATTTTACAGCACAATCTTCTTTTGACGTTTCAACCAAAGAGTATGCTGTCCTCATCTTTCTTTAAAGTAAAACGGTGTATCACATGAAATCAGCTTAGCCTCTTAAGCCACTAAGTCCAGACACGGTGTGCTTTGGAATTTCAATTAAGCAAAAAATACATGTGCCTTTACTTTTAAAACTCCAGTAACAGTTACTTAACAATTATCTACTTTTCAAAGTAATTTACTTAGGACTGTCTTGTAAGCGAGCTCCAGCGCAAATATTTAACGTGTGTGTGGGTGCACAGCTTTCTGGGAGTGCAGGGATTGTGAAGGGAAGGCACCCAAGAGTGGGCTCTAGGCACCTCTTTCTCCCCATCACATGTGGCTGGTCAGGAAGGATGTGTGAAGTGAATGAAGGAGTGAGACTGGAGCATACCTTTCAGGGAAGAAATACAAGCACATGAAAGAGAATGAAACATTTAGGCTACGTGAGGTGGCTGTGGTGTGCCCCTTGACACTATGGTGAGGTATTCTCTTTATTCACTTTGCTGGGCATTTGCTCAGGGCCCTGAGCCTGGAGGGAGAGGCCGCTGAGCAAGGCCGTCTCTTCCCTTCAAGCAGCTTGCTTTCTGGTGGAGTTGGCTTTTTGTTTTCAATAGTCATTAATGTTTTCATAGTAAAAGTAGGTAAATTTGGTATGCGGAAAAAAAGTGTCTTTTTCTTTGGTCTTAGGTTTTTTGGTGGCTGTATTATTGAGTCCTCGGAATGGGCAAGAACTTCTCTACGCTCCGGATATGTGGAAACTCATTAAATCTTTACGCATTAAGCAGGCTGTTATGGACTGAATATCTGTATACCCCCAAAACTCATATGGTGAAGCCCTAACCCCCAAATGTGACTGTTTTTGGAGATGGGCCTCCAAGGAAATCATGATGATTAAATGAGGTCATTAAGGTGGGGCCCTCACCCAACAGGATTCGTGTCCTTGTAAGAAGAGACACCAGGGAGCTTGCACTCTCTCTGACAGGTGAGGTCGCAGGGAGAAGGTGGCCACATGAAAGCCAGGAAGAGGGCCTGCACCAGATACAGAATCCTGCCAGACTCAGATTGGGACTTTGCAGCCTCTGAAATAGGAAGAGAGTAAACGTCTGTTGTGTAAGCCTGCTGGCTTGTGGTATTTGGTTATGGCAGCCCAAGCCAGTGAACACACAGTACTGCTAGTTCCCTCTTCCCAGAGAGAGGTCCATGGGAAGAGAGGCCTGGCATCCTGGACTAGTTCGGGAAGTGGCCCTCCCTGCCATAGCCGGCTCCATGCCAGCTCACCTGTGTTCCCATGCTGGCACCCAGCAGAGACAACACTGAAAGAAAGAAATGGGTTTTATACTTTTAGTACATACAATATTGCTCTGGAAGTTTTTAAATTTTACATAGTAGCCCCATAGTACCTCCCCACTTGTCTGGTCACTTATTATATCTTTTGACTTACAATTTTATATAAATCCTACTATCGTACATTTTCCTATCCTATTCCTTAGTATGTTGTGCTTTTGGTGTCTTACATCTGGCCTTTTTGACCTGTCAGTCTATTCATCTCTTCTATGTGTGTCCCCTATAATTTTACCTTTTCCTATAGTCTTGTCTGGTTTTGATATTGAGGTTACACTAGCCTCTTAGGATGAAATGGGGGAGCAAGCTCTCTTTTCTCTTCTGTTAGTTTTTACAAGATTTATATAATTTATATATTTGTATGTATTTATACAATTTTATATATTTATACAATTTACAACATTTGAATCATCTGTTGCTTGAATATTTAGTACCTATAAATATACTTGAGTCTGGCACATTTTCATGGGTCAATTTTTAACCAGAATTCAATTTTAAAATAATTATTATCTAGTCAGAATTTCTGTTTTTTTTTGAGCCAGTTTTGGACAGTCATATTTTTCTAGAAAATTACCTAACTCATCAAATAATTCATAATATTGTATTGTAAATATATTCATATTACTGTATTGCAGTAAAAAATCTCTATCCTATTCCTGCTATTGGCTATATGTGGTTTTTCTCCTTTGAGTTCTATCTCTTGTCAGAGGTCTATTTTATTAACCTTTTCACAAAACCAGCTTTTTATTTTGTTGACCTTTATTATTGCTTCTATGGTTTTTAGTTAATAAATTTCTATTCATGTTTACTATTTCCTGTTTTCTTTCTCTGGTTTTGTTCTGTTCATCTGTCTTCTTGAATTAGATGCTTAGTTGGTCTTTCTTCTTTTCTAATAACAACATTGAAAAACTTGTATTTCCTTTTCTGGTACCATTTTATTTGCATCTGACAACTTTAATTCTATAATGATACTTTCTGATTCACAGTTATAAGTATTTTCTAATTTTATTAAGTGTTTACTTTGGCCCTGGAGTTGCTGGAAGTGCTCACCCCCACAGATACTACCTAAGTGAAGATGGAGTAACTTCCTTGTCAATTCCCTGGGCTGGCGGGTGCTCTTCTCTCTTCTCCCTCATCCCTCCTCCTCCCCCCACCTCCCCAGTTTGCCCTTTCTCCAAGGGTCTACTCTTTGTGGGTTTTGGTTTTACGTGGCAGTCGACATCCAAATTCATAGCACTGTACATGTTCACATTATTTCCTGCCCTCAGTGGGCTTTAAAACCCAAGATCCAAGATCACAAAGACTGACGCTACCCACCCTCCCCCAAGACTCACATAGATCCTCCTGCCCAGCCGCCTACGGGTGCATGCAAGCGCTATGATCTCTAGGATCTCTAGTCCTCACTTTATTTCTGGACTATAGTGCTGCTGTCTTTATTAAAGGCTAATCTAAACATTAAAAAAAATTTATTTACATACTCATGTGATATACATATAAACAAATTAAAACACTCATTTATATTTTTATCTAGAATTTCTAGGTGTTTGTAGGAAGATTTTCAGGTTAATGTGCCATTTTTGTTAGAATTGTATGTATTTCCTACTTACTGAATATTCTCATTATGAGAGAATTATAATGTGTTTCTCCTTCCTGGTTTGTGCCTCCTGAAACCTGAGAATTTTCTTTTATCATACTTTAAGTTCTGGGGTACATGTGCAGATTGTGCAAGATTTTTACATAGTATATACATGCTATGTTAGTTTGCTGCATCCATCCCTGTCATCTACATTAGGTATTTCTCCTAATGTTATCCCTCCCCAATCCTCCCACTCCCTGCTGTCCCTCCCCTAGCCCCACCACCCCGCAACAGGCCCCGGTGTGTGATGTTCCCTTCCCCGTGTCCATGTGTTCTCATTGTTCAACACCCACTCATGAGTGAGAACATGTGGTGTTTGATTTTCTGTTCTTGTGTCAGTTTGCTGAGAATGATGGAAACCTGAGAATCTTAAGAGATAACCTTTTTATGGCTCCTGTCCCATTATTTCAATTCTAGGATAACCTCTAGGCTGCTTTTACTGAGGGCAAATCTCATGAGGCCAATTTCTCTTCAGTTAGCACAACCATGGAATTCAACCTAATGTAAATAAGGCAACTGTACTCTGTGTGTTTGCTCATTTTAAAATTTCACGTTGGAAATAATCCTACAGCATACCACTACTGAGATTACAACTATGTAAAAGTTTCCTGGTTAAATAAAAGTAGTGCTCATAAGCAGTTACTACTGAGAAGGTAGCACAAGACCTTCGGAAAGATTATGCTTTCTATTCTACAGGTTTGGAAGCCGAGACCCAGGAAAGGCCAATTAAGAGAAGATGCTGGAATTCTAATCTAAGGACTGAATCCAGAGCTGCGCACTGTTTTTAGAGCCAATTTTCTTGAGTTTTGGAATATAGTCATGTCTAATGCAGCACCCATTGAGTTTTGACACTCAACAATCAGCATTCATGCTTAGAGGTATTTTTGTGCACTCAATATAGCCCGATAACAACTGCTTTTAATTCTTGAGTGCCTTTCCCGTCTGTTGCTATCGCAACAAATGAAAGCAATTCAGGCTATGTTTACTGATGCTTTTTAAGCAAGTGCAGCAAGCAATAGGAGGAGTTGTAGTAGTTAATGTTTTTGGGAGTACACATAATACTTCAAAAGCTTGCCTCATGCCTTACTTTCTGTTACCAACTACGTGAGGAACAAAATGGCCATTTGCAGCAGATGGTCCACTCACCCTTCCCACTTCCACAAGATTGGTCACCATGATGATGCTTGCAGTGTTTTCGTGCCACACCATCCTCCAGAAGTCATAGATGGTCTCCTGCATTGGCCCTGCAGCAAAACACAACAGGGACTTTTTGTTGTTGTTGTAAGTTTCAACTGGAAAATTTCCGGGGTTTGCAAATAAATCTATTAATATCCACATGCAGTTTCCCTCACTTTTTAGTTGGTCACAGGCCTCTAGTGTCAATGCAAAAAGAAACTCTTTCTAAAACTGCACCTATAGAAATATCAAACTTCTCATTCATGGCTGAATTTCTCATGTCATCAAATACCTGCATTTGAGCTCTTTTTACCCCTCTTAAACTACTACTGTAAAAGAAAGTTATTTCTCCATCATTTATCTATTTATCTCCATAGTTCTCAAGAGTGAAATTTTAAAAATAGATAACATTACTCTTTCTGCTAACAATTGGCAGATATCCCAGGGAAGTGGTATATAGAATGAAATGAGCCTCTATAGGAAAAATGGCCTCTTCTTGTTTCTAATATTTTTCTTATTCTGTGCTATCTGTCAAATTAATTCATTTGTTTCCACCTGACTTTCTATAGTAAGGGAGAGAAGTTAAGGGTTTTAAGCAGTGGCACTTCCTCTCACTGAACATAAAGATTCCTGGCAGAACGTGAACAGCCATCTACTCCTTAGCTCTTGGGACCTGAGCATTAAAAAGCTCTTTTTTATGGTGTGGAAAAAAAGAGGGAAAATATATATTACAAAAGGCCAGTGCTACAGATAGAATCAGGTCCAGTAAGCTGGAATTTAAAATTTCTTTTAATCCAGATTTTAAAAAACCCCAAACTTGAATTTAGGCCCATGTGTACTTGAGGATATAAATGTAACAGCAGAAATCTTTCTAAGAAATGTAGAGAGGCAAGGAAATGAGAGAAATGCAACTTCAAAGCTTGGAGACTCACACGCTATATGTGAAATCATACAAATGTTCAGGCACATCCAGGACCAGAACCCAACTGCACTACAGTATCTTGACATTTCAGATTGCCAGAGCTGGAGCTCAAATATTTGAATTTGAGATTTGCTTCTGCCTTTTAACTGGCTGTGTGATTTGGGGCAAGTTACTTCACCTCTATGAGTTTCAGTGTCTTTTTTCTTTATATACTGATCACAGTAACACCTCTCAAGGTTATTTTGAGGATTCTTGGAATTAACGTATACCCAGGCATTTTATAGACAGCAAAACAACAGAAGGAAAACAATGTGCATTTAAAGATGTTTATTAATGGCTGTCCTTTTGCTGTGGCCTGGACACTGAACAGCAGTGACACACCCAAGTGGCCCTTCAGTCACTCCTCATCCCTCTTGACCAATAAGCAATCTGTTCTTGTGTAATTTTTCTTTTCCTTCCTCCCTGTCCAGGCCTCCTTTCCTTCCCTCCACAACACAAATTCCTATCATTTCTCCCTTGCTGCTTCTGACTACACTGTTACCCTCTCCATAAAAGTTGACTTGGTTTCCTGATGTCTCTGCATCTAATCCCTTTGGGGAAGTGCACGCCACCTCCCACAAAGCTCCACCAGTCATTTTGCCACGTCCCTTGGCATGTGCGTGCCATTCTCCTGATGTAGAGGCTGAATATTTCAGTGACTTTAATCTAAGGTTACAGAGGGGACAAGTAAACATCGGATTCCATCAATCACTACAGTTCTGGCTTGCAGAGAGGTACATTCATTGTGTACTTAACGGCTTGTTACTTATTCACAAGGGAAAAAAAAGCACCGAGTCCATCTTTGCGCAAACAGGCCAATGTGACCCCTGAATCAAAGCTAGGTACACAGGCCTGTGCCACCTACTCAGAAACTTCCAGAAATAGTTCTGATGACAATGGCTCTAATGGATGAATCAGAGGTCCCAGCATCATGGTAGCTTGTGCCTGCAGGAAGAGAAAAGCCACCTCCCTTCTCAGGGTCCCAACAGGGGTTTCTCAGAGACACTCTAGGCTAGAGTGTCTGCCTCCAACATACTCCTCACTCCCCCTTCCTGCCAGCCGACATCCTGGGATTGCTCAGTGTAAGACCCCCTTGGAGGAGAACTCAGCCTTCTTCGTTTGCTGCTGTTTTCTTAGTGCCCTAGGAAATGCCCGGCATGATGCAGGAGCCCAGTGAATCAATGAATGGATGGTAAGTCTGTATGCGTGTGTGTAAACGATATTATTATGACAGTGTTATATTAAACACATAAGAGGTACTAAGTAATACTAAGATGTAATGTTTGTATGATTCCCTTTCTCAACTTATATTTCTAAGATTATCTGGAGAAACTTGAAAACACAGTTTTTCCTCTTCTTCTATTCATGGAAAGGTGACACATTCTGCAAGGATTTCTTCAGAAGGAGCATGATTATCACTCTTTCCTCAAAGCACAGCTTTGGAGTGATCTGTGTAGTGCTGTTCCCAAGCACTATACAGGTAACTCCTCTCGGTTTCCCTGTCCAAGGCTCTGCTTCCAGCTTAGCTCAATCCATCACCCTAGGTAACCACCGTGCAATCCTAGCTTCCCAGGGACTGTTCTCTATGGAAGGGACTGGTTCTCAACTCTAGCTGTTTATTAACATTACTGTGGAGATTAAAAAAATTCTCATGTCCTAACGCAAGAGACTCTGACTGAACTGGGTTGGGGTGGGGGTTGGTCTGGTGTGTTTTCAGATCTCTCCTATCTATAGCCTTGAGGACATCAGCTCCACCTTCCAATCTAACCATCAGGTGCTCTCCTATGGAGTTATAATTGTGAAATGCCAAAGATTTGTTTGTTTTGAATCTCCTGACTAGTCTAACCTTGCCTACTAGCTCTGTGGACCATGGAATCCTGTTTGCTCTGATTTAGATGGAACTCCATTCATAATACGTCACCTGCGAACATGAACATGCCACCTCACCTCTGGGGCTGGGCATCAGTTAAGATGGCCTGGGTTTTTAAATGTTTACATAACAAAATTCACATTGTCTTTAAAATAAAGGGTGTTTATAAGCACTAGTAGCTCACGTGGCTGATAACATACACTTACTTTTTGTGATTTTCTCATCCACGACCTACACTAAAAAAGATTAGGATACAAAAATAAACTAGGTGAAGTTCTTTTCCATGCTACAATTAGATACATGGATCCAGAAGAACAAAAAGAATTTGGTATTAAAATCTAAAAATGAAACTGAACAGAAAGATTATTCTGAGGAGATCCCAGAAAGAAAAAAAAAGTGCAGGCAGAGACATCTCCCTGTAGTGCAGCTGGCCTTGCTCTCTCCTGTCTCTGCTCTCCTGCAGGTGCCGGCCCTGTGCGGACAACACTTGGTGGCCATTCCTTCTGCCACACATGTGGCTCCCTCCCTGACCTGGCTACTGTGGTGGCTCAACAGTAAAATTGCTCAGGGGTGGGCACTGGTGATTCGGGGCTGATGATTCAAGATATTTTTCCAAATGTTCATTCAAATCCTGCGTGTGTGTGTGTGTGTGTGTGTGTGTGTGTGTGTGTGTAGAAAATGGAAGAAGGAAGGCATCCAAATAAGGTTTTTAATGAAGAATGTATCAATCCTGTTTTTCTTTTCCACATATTTCTAATTATTTCCTGAGATTTCCATAAAATATTATTCAGCTACTTATCTCCTGGCAAAATCAAAAAGTGCCCTCCAGGCCAGGGGAAGGGTAGACCTTTCTGTCACCAACAGCTACTCCATTTAGATTTGGCAGCTCCTGGTGGGGTCTGAGTGACCATGACCATCATGAGCCAACATCACAAATCCAAGGATGTGAGCCTGGTACACAAGGAGGCTCCTCTTAGCGCCCATGCTCTTGAAGGACTGAAAGACAGGGGAACAGCATGGGAGGTCAGTATCCCTTTGCCTTTGACCTCTGACTCCCAAGATCACCGTGGATTGCTCACAGAGTGGACAAATACATTCCCAAGATAAGGAACGCCAAACAGCAGGCAAGGAGCTCTGAAAAGCCTCCCTCTCTCAAGGTGTGTGTGAACAGGTGCGACTGCAAGATCGGGCATTTGATTTCTGCAGTTTCTGGCTGGGTGGGAGCCACTGTAATTGCTGTGGCAGTGCATTTACAGATGTTTGCACAATAGGCAAGACAGTTATTCCCAGCAGTTGTTCCCCTGTGGGACTACAGCACTCGAGAGGTAACATCTAGAAATTTCAATAATATCCGGCCAGTAATCCATTCCATCTCCTCCAGCTGGCAGGCACACAGAGACCTCTGCTGAGAAGGAAAGGTGCAGGGGCCATTCTTGTCTCCACCAAGCCCCCAAAGGAACAAAAATAAAGGCAGAATTTTTTTTTCCAATAAAAAACATTAACCATTAGCAAGCGATGAAAAGCATAAATGAAAGACATTCAAAGATGGGCTTTATTGCATAAGATGCGTTCTCTAGTTCATGGAAAGTGAGAGATATGAAAAATTATTGTTTCAACAATGTATAATATTCAAGTGATGGGTGCCCTTCAAGTAAAAGCCTACACTTCATCACTAAGCAATATATCCATGTAACACAACTGCATTTGTACCCCTAAATCTAAAAAAATGATTTCAAACCTTGATGACTTGCACCCCTTCTTTTCACATTTAAATTTTCATAAACTGTATTTTCCATGTTAACTAGAGCTTCTGAGGAGTCAAGGTCTCTTAAGCTCACGGTGGCATTTTTGAGTTTTTTGAAGTAAAGAAAGATAATATAAATACAAATTGGCATTCCATCATAGAGTAATACCTAATGTCCCTTAAACACTTACTATTTCCCAGATCCTGCCTGAAGTAGTTTACATGTACTATTGCATTAAATTTAGAAAACACCATCCTATGAAATAGGTCCTATTGCTCACCCCCATTTTACTGACAGAGACTGAGGCACAGGGAAGTCAAGCAAGCTGCCCAAGGTCACACAGCTAGTGAGCTATGGAGCTGAGTTTTGAACCAGGAGTCTGACTCCATTACATCATGCTGCCTCATTTGAACGTCAAAAGCAACTCAGAAGGGCTCTATCAGGCAGGTGTGTACCACACAGTCCTCACAATCCCAGCAAGAAGAAAACAGG